CTATCTTCGGTATTAAGCTGTAGGTTCGTCGTCCTGTTGTACCATTTTCCCAGTTTTGCTGCCATGTCTCAGTTGCAAGTAGTTTGAGCATTGATTGTTATGCCGATTGTGGCCAGGGGATGTCTATACCGTCACCGACTTGATCGAGTGCTGCCTGCTTTGCAAGCAAGTCCGCCCTCACATTACTTTCGCAATTGTTAAGGCCTCTGATCCATGAGAGAACGAACTGCTTATTACTTGTCCTTACGGTCTTCTGGATGTTCTGTGCTATTGATGAGTTGGTGTAGAGGCTTTGAATAGCTTGTATAGATGACTGACTGTCTGTCACGATATGAATGGTGTCTGTTGAGTCTCGTAGCAGGTGGTTGAATAGCGGTTAATTCGGCATGGTAGATACTGTTATTTGATCTCTGGTGCCCCTGCCATTTCGAGTGAACCTGTGCTGGTGCTGACTGATCAGAGAGAGAGGAAAACAGAGCAAGGCCATCGTGATCAAGAAAGCCTTGCAATAGAGGGTTTGAAGGCACCATTGATAACGTCAGAGCACGCTGGCAGGAGGTATTCAAATGAGAAGTAGAACGGTGCAAGGGGCCTCGTTTCCATACCAACATCTCGGAAACGGAGAACCTTTGTAACTATTATTTTCAAAGACCGCATCCTATAAGAATGAACCTTGGACCATCCTGAAACCAATGAACCTCATGCTAATATTTGTCGAGTATATAGACGAATACTCGACGAATATTAGCATGAGGACAGACCGTCAACGTGGATTTGTATCTCCAAAAGGCATTTAGATTTCTTGCAGGCAATCGGGAACTTAGCTTGCGTTTGAATTTAGTCGGAACGACAACGCACGTTCCGGCTCTTTAAAGCCGGATTTATTACCTTTCTGTTACATAGTTTTGAGGTTTCTTTTATCCTTTTTTTATTCTTTAATATCTGCCTGCTTCCAGTTGTCCGCACTATATTTAGCAAGAAGCAAACATTTAGTTAGCGCAAGCGGCTCTAGGACTATTGAGAATAATACATCAGTTTTTAGTTATTCGGAATAGTAAAAGATATTTTTTGAATTCAATGCCTTTGCTTGCCAAATATAATTCAATCCTTAAGTACCAGTTAGAGCATCTAAAATGAAACTAGTGTCATATTTATCAATGATAATTCAAAATGAAATTATTGACTTCAAGGAGAAAACAGTTCGAAATAGCATTTTAACCAATATAAAAGAAGCCAAATACTGCATAATAATATTCGGTTGCATTCCAGATGTGTCGCATGCAGAATAAATGAGCCAGGTGATTGGACACGTAAACAAATGCGATGTTTGTAAAATAAAGGAAAGCATTATTGATTTCATAGAAGTTGGTGGAAAGACAGAAGAATATATTTTTCAACGGATACGGAAAAATTGAACTTGACGATTTGGATATTGGACATTGTCATGGTCAGTCTTACGACAATGGGTCAAGGCCGGTACTTATAAAGAAGAACAAGCTAGAGTTACAGAAATGAACGAGCTGGCGGCCCAGTATGTTACATGTTTGGCTCATTCGGTGAATCTTGCTGGTAGTATTTTACTTTTCATTGGTTCCACTACTCGATGGGATATTATGAAAAAATATACAAAAGCCAAATTAAAAGGAAGCAGCCAAACGAGATGATCTGTAAAATCTGTGGCAGTAAATGCACTTCTAATTAATTTACCGGAAGTAGCAAAATTCTTGAAAGAAATTAAAGACATTTCTTTTAATGTGGAATCAAAGTAAGAGGCAGGACATCGGTTATATGCCGTGAAAAAACTTGAATTTATTATCAGCCTGACAATTCTTGGAAAAATCAATCCAGTAAATATTGGAAAAGAAAGATATTATTCTCGCGTGTTCTGTCGCATCAATGGAAGCTCTGACAGAAACTTTGCCAAAAATGAGAGAAAATACTATAGAATATTGGATAGAAGAGGTTAAATTATTAGCCGAAAAGAAATGAGGTTGAGCATATTCTACAAATAAATGAACTCTAAACGGCAAAACGCAATCTGATGAATTATTCGAGGCTGAATCACAAACAAGCTATTTTCAAAGGCAGTAAATACTGTATCTGATCGAATCTTATCGGAAATTAAATGGAGAATTAATAGCGCTACTACAATAAATTCAAATTTTGCATTTCTCAATGATCATAAAATGTAGAATATGTCGAGTGGGTTGTCCGCCGAAACATCGCGGACGAAAACGTCTCAGAGAAAACAACGCAAGGCGAAAACGTCGTGGTACAAAACATCGTGGGAGAAAAGAAAGCGGAGAGAGAACATCGCAGTCCTAAAACATCGTGGTACAAAATATCGTGGTTGAAAATATCGTGGTAAAAAATTAAGTACTTACAAATCATCGCATGACGATAACATCGTACACATGTGTTTTCAGGTTTTAAAAGTTATAATTGCATGTCCGCATAGTCTTTTGGGAGCGCAAGAAGGAAAGCGGGATTCATTTACTTCTATGTTTCATATTTTTGAATGTACTAATATATTTTTGTTGAAAAAAATAAGAAAGAAACATTTAAAGATTGAAAATGAGTAGGAAACTAATGTAACATATACAACTTAATAGAATTTTAAATTTGCATAGTTAATTAACAAAAATCATTAATAACTTAACCTTTTTTTATAAAGTTTTACTCATAATTTTTTATGAAAAGTACAGACCAAAAGAGCTAAAAAAAAAAAAAAAAAAAAAACGAAGACAAATAACTGCACGAGGTTACGTCTATAAAAATTGCTTAGCTAATTATCAAATTATTTTTTTTCACATTTATTAATCTAATATTGTTTCAGTGAAAATTACATTTTGTTTTCTTTCCGTTTATTCTTAATGTGCCGTTAATGTTTTCATGTATGGCGTGCAATCAATTTTTTGGATGTCGATTTATTAATTATGAAGAAAGTCAGTTACATAATATGCCAGTATGGGATTTGAAAAACGCATGTGCGATTTACTTTATGTAGGTACTTTACTTTTTACCATGATATTTTCGACGACGATGTTTTTAAACTGCGAGAAAGAGATTTCTTTGCATTTATTTATGCTTTTTATATCAGAAAATTGCTACGAGGATCAACAGATAATTAAACTAAAGATAGCTTTTAACATCTTCTGAATTAACTATTTTTCTAGGTACAACATTTTATTTGAAAATTATTTTAATGCACGGATCGATTGAATCAAATTTTTCTGAACTGCAGTTTAGGTTGACCAGACCAAAATTTTATTTTGCTGTTTTATAAATTTCATGTTTATTAACAATTGCTTTGCAATGTCAGCAGTTTTTCACATCAAACATTCTGCAGTCCACTCTTTCCATTTTGATATCACATTATACAATGATACGCTATCACAGCCTCAATTATACACGTGAATTAACAAATTGGTATTCCCAAGAGCCATGTGCCTTCCTTTAAAAATCTAGAATTACAGCATCAGTGCAAGAAAATTAATTGCTTATCAGTGCAAGAAAATTAGAGATTTAAGAACAATTTTAGAGACACTAGGTTATTTCGAAGCAAGATGAATGAAAAATAAGCAATGCCCTCGCCGGGACTCGAACCACGGATCTCTCGAATACGCGTCGAGCGTGCTGACCACTACACTACGAAAGCATGGTAAGAAGGCGGAAAAATACCTTATATACTACCCCTTTTAAAGGGTAACTGGAGTTTTAGGGGACTCAGTCGCCAAATCCTGGTGGTGAATATTCATCGTTCACCACCCTTTAATTCGAGGGCCACTGTAGAGAATTTCGAGCGCCACTGTCTACTGTTATTTCGAAGCAAAAGAGAAATAAAAAATAAGCAATGCTCTCGCTGGGACTCGAACCGCGGACCTCTCGAATACTCGCCGAGCGTGCTGACCACTGCACTATGAAGACATGCTATGAAGGTGAGAAATTTCTTATGCAATGTTTATTGTTTCAGTACCTTTATCTTCATTTAATTTTTTTCTATACCTGAATTATAATTCTACATTGCTTTAAGAATGGAAAAAAAAAAAAAAAAAAAAAAAAAAAAAAAAAAAAAAAAAAAAAAAAAAAAAAAATGAGTAGTTTAAAAACAGTACTTTTTTTGATAATTTGTATTAAAATCAGAAGAGATAAAATATTTATAAATATTGCTTATGCTATTATTCAATGTATTTATAGTATTAATAAACTTTTATACCATCAATGTATTAAAAAATATTTTTTAACCTTTGGTATAATGTACTTCAGACCGCTATGGATATCCAATGAAGATATACTAAATTCCACGTTTAAATTAATATTACTTTATTTTGACCTTTAATAGAAAAAATGTGCTTTTCTATTGAAAATAATTAAAATACTTTCACCGAAGTTATTCTTTAAAAAATCATTTAGTCTTTTTTTCCCATTTTAACGGCATATATGTTTACAAACATTTTGCAACAATTTTTCTTGAATCATTTAAAAAATGTAAACAGGACAGGAGGGATTTAAAAGGTAATAGCCATTGAAAAATATATGATATGGAACTCAAAACAATATTTATTACTTCGTAATTAAGCTTTTGAAAAACAAACCTTACGCAAAATATGAAAATATGCATAGAGAAAACAATTTTTGAGCAATATCCTGTTGCTATGGGCGAACAAAAAGAATGAATAATAATTAATCGAATTATTAGAGCTTTAAAAATATAGTCATGCATTTTTCAAGCTTCAGGTACAGTCTTCAATAGCAAAATCCTGTATAAGTACACAAAAATACCTTTTTTATGTTTTTCCTTCTCAGAATTTTAAATACATACTTCCTGTCCTGTGTATTATAACAACAAAGTTAAGATATTTAGAAGGAGGAAATATTATAAATTACATGATGCATTGCACCAATAATTAATTGACTTTAGAAATAATCAAGAGCAGTTCCAAAGCAAATTACCAAAAGAATATTTTTAAGTTATAAATTTTAACTTTATTATCACTTACCTCAGATTTGATAAAAATATTTACTTGCCACACCTTAAATGTCCCCTTGAAAAATATGAAATGGCTCAAATACTGAAGTGACGAAAACGCGAATGAAATGCGTGCATTCTGTGTAAATTCTATACGTATGAGCTTACGGAAAACGTTGCTAAGCAACAGTAAATAAGGGTTGCCAAGCAACAATCAATGAATGTTGCTATGCGACAAAAAATAACCTATTTTAAGTGGTATTCGCTGATATAGCAGATATCTAGATTTATGTAAGTGCCTTTTAACCTAAAACTTGTAAGTCTTTCAATCACGGAAGCATAAATTAAGGAAAGATACGAATTCGAAATATTGAAAGAAATACATCCAAAGGGGCGTTTTTTTAACGTCTTGTATGTGACCTTTATTTATTAAATATCATGTTCTTTCCATTTAAACTATAAAATTAAGTTCAACAGCAATATCGCAAATTAATTTTAAAACGAGCATATCTTTAGAATTTCGCATACAGAGTCTCGCGTGCTGGAGATAAAAATGTTTTGCTTTCGTACAGTGTTGCCATTGCTCGCTTTGAAATCGTTTAGTTTGTTAATCAAAAATTCGTTGAAGTGATGCAAAATATGAAATCGATAACAAAACAAATTTCAAATTCAAATTAGAGCTTCCACATGCCCATATTCTATGGAAGATTACGTTATTTAAATTTTGATGGCTCTAGGAACCGTTGTTTTATCACAATGCGAGAAACATACATACATTTATACAGATTCTTCATTATTTAATTTCTTTAAATATAATACAGGACTGTAATATTTAGTGGGCAGCTTGAAAAGTGAACCGACATTTAAACTTTTCAACGCAAAATGCCAAAACGAAATTAATAGCCAAAACATTTCTTTCAAAACCCAAATGGATAATCGTAATAAGAAGCATATAAATAAGTATTTTCACTTAATTTTTATTACGAAGAGGCAAAACTTTCTTCATAGTTTTAATGCTATAGTTTCATAGCATTTCTGGAAATTATTTGACCAATGTTATGCCCCTAATTTTAATACTCAGAGAGCATTCCTGATACACTGCAAGAAAAGATGCATGTGTAAAATTTAAAAATAAGCAAAACAGTAACCTTTTCCTGGCGTTTTCAGTGAAAGGGATTAATAAGGGAAAAACTCACTTCAGAAATTTTTTTCTCCTGAGGAAGAACGGTCTATATTTGATCATCTTCAAAACCGATAATTCAAAACCTAAGCCAAACTGAGGCTGCTTTGTTGTCTGATTTTAAATCTTTTACTGAAACCGAAAACAAGCTGTTTAGCAACCTTGACTTAGCGAAACTTTTCTGACACTCGGGAAATTTTATAATCTATTTTGCCTTTATTTGGTGACTTTGCTACAGTTAAAATATTTATTCGATAATACATAATGCCGTGCAACACTATATTACATCACTATATATACATTATTAGCAGCTTCGCTGCCAGCCTTCGTCTGGCTTTTAAATGTACCGGAAAAATGGCTGAAGGGAACACCAAAAGTTAAATTTAAAAACTGCGTAGAATTTTACTCTGCAGAACAACTTCATAAAAAAAAAGTTATTACGTATAACAAAATTACAATGAAATAAGCAATATCCCTTAATACAAATATTAATTATCCTAATAAATAAATTAACCAACTTCCCTTTGCAAAATCTTAAGAACTCAAATGGTATAAAGGAGGGTAAGAACTTTGTTTCCTAAAAAAAATGACACAAAACTTTTCAATATCTTAAAAATAGTGAAATGAGCAATAAATAACATAAAAATATACAAAAGACAAAAAATTCTGAAAAGCAAAGTATAATTAATGATATTATATGTTATATTTTCAAGAGAAAAAAATTAGGGGGCTACTTTGGTAGACGGTTGCACGGATTTTTGGCGATTTACATTGGCGGAATTGTTGGCGCGGTTTTTACAGTCATCAGCCATCTTGAAAAATGCTGTTTTTACGTATTTTACGCATATAGTAAAGTATTCGAAACTTTAAAAAAATAAATATCGTTAAAATAATGAATTAATTTTTTGTTGAAAACGTTGTTTTTTAAGATGGCTGGCAAATGTAAATAAATACATTTACTAAGAGTATAAAATGCTAAAGTAAGGTTAAATTATTACTTTCATATAGTAGAATAAAAACACCGCTATAAAAAAATTGCGCCAACATTTAATTGGATTAAAATATTACTTAAATTGAATATGGAATTAAAAACAACGTTTAAAGAATTAAAATATTACTTAAATACTTTTATAGGAATTAATTATTCAACATTAAAACGTATGTGGCAATAAATATCTCAGGAATTTTTGAAAACATTGTATTAATTTTTTAATAAAAGTTGAAGTATACAATTATAAAGTGAAAGAAAATTATGTAACATTTTTTAAAGTATTTTACTTGTCGTATATTGATAAGTACCACAAAAACAAAAAACAAACCAAAAAAAAAAAAAAAAAAAAAAAAAAGTTCTAACGATCTTTATCTGTTGCCATGCATCAAAATCAATAACATTAGGCAGTAACTGATTTTACTTTTATTATGCTACGTTATTTATGTTTTTTATTAAAAGAAACAGAAATGCTATGAAAAAATTAAGCAAGGAGAGGGTTTCGAAATGCTTGAAAAATCACATTCGTGGACAGTTCTTATTACGCTACTGATTTATTTTTTTCATTTACAACAAAATTTCATTTATTAAAAGCAAACCTAATGGAAGAATGCTTTCATTAGCTACTAACCTAAAGTAGCATTTTAAAGCACAAGTGTGTGGTTCACTACGTGCAATATCGTGAAACAGGGCAAAGGATAGTTTTATATCTTCTCATTCTGGTTGGCCTAATAATAGCATTTTTATCGAAATCGCGATTTAGCTATATATGTTTATGTAATATATTATACTAATGCATATTTTGAAAAAAAAAAAAAAAAAAAAAAAAAAAAAAAAAAAAAAAAAAAACTACCCTTTTCTTCTGCAGTGATATGCCGATGTTTCCCATAGTTTGATTCTTTGGTTCAAATCCTCTTTCGTGGGCGTTTGGAAAGATTAGTTCCCACCTACATTATTCTACGAAATAACCTCTGGAGAAAAACAAAACCCACCATAATACATTGGCCTTCCTATTATAACTTTGGGAACACTAATTCCCAGATAAGTTTTGTGCTGCCATCTATGTTCTATCGATCATAACAGAATGAGCACATTTGTTTTGAATGTTCGAACGTATTGTGAGAGATTTGTTGTACTGTGAAAAATCTGTTTAGATATGACATTTGTACTGCTCAAGAATTCTACTGATATTGTGAGAAAAACACTGTTTTTAATTATGATAACGCTTATTTTGAATATTTCTGCACATTTTGTGCTAGTAGCTATCTACGTAATAGTGAATAATAAATAATGGTGAATTGTGAAAATGTTGCTGCATCATATATAAAAGTCACATGCATTTTGTATGTTTGGATCTTCCATCACTGCTGAAAGCTAATGGCGAACTACAAAGAAATGAATCAATGTTCCTACCCAAGGAAGATGTTGCTGCAATAAAATGTATGAAGAATAAGGCTGTTACTTTGTTGACTAACTGCACATAATCCAGAGATTATTACATCTGTAATTCGGACAAAAGCGTTGTATTAATGTACGTTTTCCCTCATTTTGCGTAACAAATTATTTTAAGTTTGATACCTTTCCTGAACGCCTCATCTTCCTCTCGCATTTCCTCGCCTCGCCAGGATGTAAATTTAAAGTTAAGTGAAAGGAGTATTTAAACGAGTGAATCTCTGAATTTATTCAAAGCTTGTTTTCGCTAGCCAGTGCACGTTTCATTGCTATTTCACTGTCACGCTACTACTCCCCTTAGCCATTTCGGATAATCGTCACTGTTAGGTTTTGTCGAGTCATCCTAAGTTAGACGTAACTTAATGCGCTAATCCAACTCTATTCTATTTTCGATTTGAATTGATTTACTTAACGTTCCACCGCAAGTGGTGGTACTTTTGTAAAGCACAAAGTCCGTGCCTTTCTGTTCTGAGTTGAATTAATAAAGGGTTACTTTTCACCCTTCTGTGTTGGTAATTCATTCATGCCTGTGCGAGAATTCGCCAGGTTCATGGTAGGATCTAGTTTAGTTTATGTGAAATAGAAGAGACAGATCTTTCACTAAAACAGAAGTTACTTTTCCTAAAGCTGTCGCTGTATATAACAGTATCATGAGGGGTGGATCTCTTCAATCAAAGAAAAGGAAGATCCCGAATAGGAAGATGATTTGTAAAATGGTTGCATCATATTTTTTATTTTCTTATTCACTTTGGCATTGTAAGTATAAAACTATTGTGGAAAGTAAACAATAAAAACATAAGTTTAGACCAGCTAACATTCCGTACAGCATTAGCTCGTCAGCTAATAGACGGATATTCCTCGAGAAAAAGGAAAGGCCGTTTAGCTAGCTTCCATGCAAAGAAGTGTGCTGTTTTCGGATGATGTACGCTTGGGAAAATCATATGCCTGAGATGGTTTTTGACTATAGACGGTGTAGGGAATGTAGCCCAAAGGCCCGAGAAAGGAGGATCCTCTAAATGTGTGCAGAATTTATGATGAATTCTTGTGCATTTTAACGTGTTTCTCATCTTTCCATGGCAAATAATCGCCATTAAATTGAATTTTTCTATGACCCTAAAGGGTTCCATGGGAAGTATACTTCACATCCTTAGAATTTTAAATGTAAACGAAAAATTCGGCAAATCAAAATACATTTCCTTAAATGCTATTGTTTAATTTCTACATATAATAAAAGGAAGAGTCTGTGTGTGTCTTTCGTGCGTGCTTGCGCGTAAGCTAATAGACTCAGGGCTACGAAATTCGGTACATAGGTGCATCCAGACAAGAGCCAGTGCAGCTCGAAGAGATTTTTTTCAAAATTCGAATGAGTTTTTCTTATTTTATGTTCTTTGATGAAATTGAGTCAGACATAATAGGCATACCAGTAACAATGGCATGCAGCCATTGTTGCTGATATATCCCTGTTGCCATTGTTGCTAATATCAGCACTGTTGCCACTCGGAAAAATGAGGGTGAAAACTAGCGTTTTATGTGTTTTTAATTAATATCTCCTAATTTAGCTATTTTTTTTGTGGAAAAAAGTGAATGTCGACTTTTTCCAGGATGTTTATGTTCTATGTTTCAATTATATATAATTTAATTATATGAAAAGTTTTGCATGATTATTTTTAAGAAACAAACTCTTTTACTTCCTTTACACACTTGAATTCTGAAGATTTTGCCACCGGAAGTTGTTAATTTATTTATTAGGATAATTAATATTTGTATTTTTTTTCTTGATAAAGTTGTTCTGCAGAGTAAAACTATGTAGGTTTTAAATTTATTATTTAGTGTTCCCTTTAGGCATTTTTCCAGT